CACATGCGTTATAACGCAGGCAGTAGTGTGTGATCTACGCAGACGGACCGTTCAACTGTCATGAAACTGGGCACATTATAACGAAGGAAAAAAGGAAGCGCGGCAGCTATAGTGAAAGTCGACTCGCAATGAATTCTTGCACAACTGAACTCACCGTCCTTGTGTCCATCCTGCTGTAGAGTACACGTGTGCATAGTCGCAGACGATGTTTAAACAGTCGCTATGGTTGCCGCAGGCTAGTGAAATAATTTGCATTAAGGCTGAACTAGTGAAGTTCATATAAAAGGTCGGCTTGCATCCTGATCTCGCAGAACTTTGACCTAGGTGTCCATTAGCCTGACAAATCGACATCGTACTTAGCTGCTTTCATTCTGATGGCAGATTTTTACACTTAAGTCCCTTGCACCCGCTCTCTATCTCACTACTTGGTTTACGTAACAATCGGTGTAGCCTTCTTGTGAATGCCCTTGTTCCCACAAATTGTCCGCATATAGTTCTCAACCCTTTATATTTCCCAATAGACTGTTTCCTCTTATATCTAACTGTCCACCATTTCCCCTATGGTTGCAGCAGGAATCAATTGCTTGCCTTAATAATTGCTCCTTTTATGTACGTGAGGAGCCTGTGCACCAAGTTGATCACTATATTAACTGCAATTCAAAATATGCTCGTTTGCCTTTACCTATTTTTCTGCCTTGGCAAGCAGAGCATCTTGGCATAGATCAATTAACTTCGAACTATTATTAATATAACCCATATTACCTCTAACGCTGTGATCACACTGGCTCCGGAAACTTCTCCGCACACCTGCACTTCATTTGCTTTCGTCTTTAATGCGTTTGTTAGTGACACTTATTTGCTCGCCTTATCTGGTTTTGTGGTCGACTCGGGCATTGATTCATATTTTTAGTTGGTTTATGCATTTTAAGCGTACATATCTTTCCGGTACCATCCACAGTTTTCTGCATTTTTTCCGTTCATGTTTAGCGCGAGCGCCGTTTAAGCAGGTCCCTACAAATGTTGGAGTATCCAGTACAAAGCCCACTGTACCAGAAGTCCCTAAAACACCTCCCAAATCATCTTCGTCCTTCGCTCCCTCTACGCCTGGTACTCCAGGATCTGGCACTGGGCGCGTGTTTACAATCGCGAGTCTTAATCCTTACCAAAGCCGCTGGACCATCCGTGCGCGCGTATCTCAGAAGGCAACTATTAGAACATGGAACAAAAATGGTCGCGAGGGGAAACTTTTTAGTTTCACCCTCTTGGATGAGAGTGGAGAAATCCGAGCGACTGCGTTTAATGCTGAGGTCGACAAGTTTTATGATCTTATTGAGGTAAGTACGTGCAGTTTCCCAGTCTTTTGGCTCACTTGCACGTTACTATTTAGGTCATATATCTTTCCGTTATTCCTACCTTCACATTCTTCACTTTCTAAATACGCTGTATATTCAACTAGCCTCAAGTATTTTTTGGTTTTTTGAAACTAACATATTTTAAGTCATCTTTATCAATGAAACAATCCAAGACTCGGAAAAAATACTTTTAGTCTCTCTGTATTTCCGTATATTTGTTCGGACTAAATTTTCAATACGTTCATTTTATTCACCTGAAATTCCCGGTTTCTTTAAAGTTAAGTGACTCTGTCTTCAACAGTTTATTGTAACTGATATTAAGCCCTTTTGATCCCCAATACCACCATCCTCTGTGCCTAACTCGAGCTTACAAGAAATACTAGATTGCTATGAGTTTGTCTAAAGCACTTATCGCACCACTGGCTGAGGAGCTCTCTTGGGATTAATTACGTAGCCTTAGATGTAGTCTGTAAAAACTTTCCTTACACTAGACGAATTGTTAATGTCCTTAGCATTTGTAATCTTCATCGTCCGATTCAAGACTAGTAACCATTCAAGATAATGACGCAAACCACGGCTTTTTAAATGCAAATTTAATGGTTTTCGAAGCTCCACTTGTAACACTCATTAGTCTGTTTAAGTAAGTTTGTTAACTTTGTTCGGTGTGCAAAAAATTTATGAATCTATTTGCATTGACAGATTTTTGTTTCATGTTGCTTGAAAAACTGCAGATGTCTTCATGCTATTCTGTGTACTTTTTGTCCATTTGAGTTGTCTCCACCGAAACAGGTCTTCCTCCTCTTTATTACCTAGTAGCACATGTTTGAAGTTTGGTCAGACCTCAAACACTTTCGGCATATTTTCAGGTCCAAAAGGTTTATTACATCAGCAAGGCCACACTAAAGCCTGCCAACAAACAGTTCAACACAACCAATAATGATTATGAAATGACACTTAACAGTGATACGCAAATCACGCCCTGCGAAGATGGCGACGATGCTGACGTGCCAGAGATGAAGTTTAACTTCACGGAAATTGGAAAGTTGGACTCCTGCAATCCCGGTGACTTTGTTGGCAAGTCTTTCTTATTGTCATCACTGTTTTTATTTGCGCGCATACTCTGTTGCCTCAGGGGCTTGTAATATTTTACGTCTGAGTTTGCCAGTTTTTGCTAGCATATGCAGCTCTACAGGTTTTCGCATAAGTTAACTCGTTTTACAACTAAAAATTAGTTATATAATAACTCGACCCTGGTCTCGGAATCCCTTGTCTTGTCTGTGGCAAAGATATTAATCTTACTTAGATGGCGGAAAATCAGTCTTTTTGCAATCATAGAAGAATCTTAACAAACTAGAGCTGTTCCACTTTTAACATATTTCGACGCCTGAGCGCACCAGTCACTACATTTTGGCATCCGGGAAGGCGATACTTCAAGCAGAGCATGTATCAAGAACTGCCTTCTAGTAGAAATTACTTAATACTACTCAGTCGTTTTCGCTGGCTAGATAAGCTAATTAACTCATTAACCAACTGTCAACCGTCAACCGTCATCACTGGTTACGGCGATGTCATCTAAAACGTTTTTATCGGCACATTTAATTGACCATGTGTCGCGTCGATCTGAAGTCGAGTCTGTGATTCATTTAGCCCGACCTTCATTTTCAATGGCGTACAGTTGGCCAGTTAAACACATGGATAGATACGTTAAAAACAGGCCTCGAGCGAACTTTTGTTGGTCGGGCTTTCTAATTAACCCAACTTCGCTCATGCAACGGTCGCTGCCTGGTCGACATTGAGATGACTTTGGAGGCCGTGAATCTAGCAATCGGCCGTGATGCAGGACGTGTTAAGACCTGAGCGGCTGATAATGGCGAGTAAGCAAAGAGCTGATTTCTTACTTGTCCTTATGTTTTAATCCAATGGTCTGACAGTGATAATTAAAACCTACATGAAGTGTAGTGTAGAAAAGATTTCACGAAATTTTATCTAGGTGCGTTTTTTTAAATCTAAGCGTTAGATATTTTCGAATACGCTTGGGTTTGGTGACAAGCTCAAGTCACCGGTCTGAACGGACCTCACACGATCCCGTTTCATAAGTCACTTTACCCACTGTATATGTATAGTACTTGCTTGTACTTGTTACGGCTGTAATCATGCCTGATCTAGCCGGTCTCAATGATGCCATGGAAGGCGGGTTACCCATTAGACAAGCTGCAGGCTACCTGGCGCGTCCACGGGTGGCGGATAGTGGCGCGGCCT